CGTGATGTGATTCACTACCCGACATGCCTCTGCTGTTAAGCTTCGTTTCACGATAGTCACGTGCTCGCCCACTGACCAATCACAGCGCACTCTGCACCTCGCAGCAGACACTGAGCTGCACTAATGCTGACGTCATGATAGGCCGGCGAGCAGGCTCTGATAGTCAAAGAATACGCCCAACATGTCAAACTAAAGATGTGATTGGTTGAAGAATATGACAATCAACAATATCGTCCACGTTCACTTAAACTGCAAAAGGATGCAGGCCTCCGTCTGCAGGCCTGGGTCTCTGTTCTTACCTAGAGACACAGAGGTGAAATCTGATTGGATAAAAGCTCTACTTAAAACAAGCTGCACTGGAAGCAGAGCAACTGAGGAAGACAGTAGCTGTGCATTGAGAAAATAAGATAATGGGAAAAATATTTTTATAAATTATAATACATGTAGTGTATTTAAGAAAAATTATTAAATTATAAAATAGATATGGCTTTGTGATTCTGTTTCGGCCAGCAGAGAAGGCCTTGCAGGCCCTGACGGCCCGCCACTGCAACTATCACAGTTAACAGAGTGTTCTTGCTCAAGCTAACTCGGTGAATGCTAGTTATACTAAATCAACATTGATGTTGTGTCCATTGATGCTTTTTACGCATTACGGCTGACGCAGCTGGCGGTGTCCTCACTCAGACTAACCTGGTGGGACACTAACTAGACTAAGTTAATACTGGGATTGTGTCCATTGATTTTGTAACATTACGGCTATCACAGTTAGCTGAGTGTCTTCGCTTAGACTAACTGGTGGGACACCACTATTTACAAGCGACGGTCCTAGTGAAGGGAGTGTCCTTGCTCCCCTCTCACTATAAGGACTGTTTTTTTAGTCTGTTTCCACAGTGGCAGAGTGCTCTCGCTCAAGCTAACTAGTGGGACACCAATATCTGCAGCGACTGTCCAAGTGAAGAGAGTGTCCGAAAAGATCACTCTCCTCTGACTGCCCCCTGCCTGTTCTCTCAACATTCAGCAGAGCGCTCCTGCTCAGACTGATTTTGGATTCCGCATCAACTAGTGGGACAAGGGTTCCTCCAGAATCGCGGCCATGTTAAACTCTCCCGGCTGTAGGACCTGTATAGCTCCTCTTCAGCCTGAGGACGGCCCTGACCTCTTGCCTCGAGCATCTGAGGGAGGGCCTCTCGGAGAACCCAGGCAGGACCTGCGGCATCGCGCCTTGAGCAGTAAGGTCTGCTAGGCTGGCCGAAGTGGAACACCTGATGCGTGAGGTCTACCTCCCACTGTCAGGGCAGCTGAATCCAGCCCAACCTACCCTGATCATTTGCATGGCGCTGGCACGCCTGCAGTGGGATACACAACAGCTGGAACTTCCACCTGTGAGTGCCTTCTTCAGGCGCCTTCCCGCCCTCACCACCTTTTCTGTTCCTCCCTCCGAGGAATATCTGAGGGAGTTGCATGCATGCTGGAGAGACACCAGGGCTCTCTCGCGCCTTACATCAGATGGCCGAACCCTGACGGCCATACAGGAGGTGGCAAAATTTGGCCTTGCACGTATGCCAGCCATTTAGCCGACTATTGCGTCCATCATAGTTTCCCCTGAGGAGACTCTGAGGCCCGATGCCAGGTGCCCTCGACCCAACATCGGGTCAGAGATGACCTGCTATCCAGGGCTTATGACACAGCAGCGCTGTGCACCGTATCGACAACTCCCTCTCCCACCTCATGCTTGCCCTCGCAGCTTCTCTGCAGCAGGCTACTTTCGACGCTTCCGCCTCCAGCCTCAGTGATGCTTCATTGCAGGCGTTTGCGCTCATGTCGAGGGAACTTGGACGTATGATGTCCACCCTGGTCCAGACTCACCGCCAGGTTTGGCTGGCGCAGTCACCCGTGTCTGAGACATGTAGGAGGACCCTCCGTACTGTCCCAGTGGAACCTGGTGAGCTGTTCGGGTCAGCTGCTATACAGGCACTTCAGCGAACTGTTGAAGCTAGCCAGACCAGGCAGCAGTTCTCTGTTCTTTGCAGGGACATGCCTGCACCCCGCAGACCTAGGGGTTCCACTTTGGCCCCCCAAGGCCATTTTTCAGCCTCCAGCTTACCCTAGTAGCTGCCACAGGCCTCAGCGTCCCGCTGAGAGGCCAGACCGCTACCCATACAACCCTACCTACGTGCCCCCCAGACATCCTCTGAACTTGGGGGACTAACAGTGCCCCCCCCCCAAAGCCCCCCCAGGGGGCTTTTGAGATGTCTCCTGGCCGGCTGTCGGTTTTTTCTCCCAGCAGCGGCTTTCCAAGGGAGTGGTTCACGTCTACCGACGCCTATTCCCATGTTCCCATGGTGCATCACCACAGGTAGTTTCTTCGTTTCTCCTTTTAAGGCCGCCACTTTCAGTCCAGGGTGCTTCCATTCGGACTCTCCCATCTCCCCACGGGTGTTCACAAGGTGTGTTACTGCTGTCCTAAGTACTTAGACGACTGGCTGACCTGGGCGCCATCCCGGCTTCAGGCGCCACAGGACACTGCTCGCCTTCTCTCACGTGGCACCGGTGGGGCCTCAAGGTGAACATGGAGAGGAGCTACCTGAGCCCTTCTCAGAGCATAACCTTCATTAGTGTGGCCCTATGAGGGCCTGTCTGTCACCCCAGCATGTGGACAACAACCCCCACAACCTCCCCCTTCCGAGGGGGCAGACGGTTGCCCTACATCCTTTTCTCCGACTATTGGGTAGACTGACAGCTGCCTCAACTGTCGTTCCCTTGGGTTTGTAGATGGCTGAACAGCCTTCACTTGGATGCCAAGTGGCACAGATACAGGGCAATAATATTATCCAAACACTACTCACTCTATCCCCATGGAGGGAGAGTGCATATCTGGCAAACAGTATACTGCATACGGCAGTTGGAGCCTAAGAAGGGCTGTGCTCCTTCTGAAAAACAGCGCCTATCCCACTGGATAGTGGAGGCCATTGCCTATACATACAAGGCGAGCGACTGCGCTCAGCCATCCGGGGTGAAGGGTCACTCTACCAAGAGTGTCTCCACGTCAAGGGCAGCCCTGAGAGGTGTGCCTGTGGAGGATATATGTGCTACGGCCTCATGGGCATCACCGAGCACATTCACCAAACACTACAGAGTTAACGTTGCCACCCCTCACCCACTGGGGAGGGTTCTTTGGCCAATTTTCTCTGCCAGAGCTATACGAGGTAGTTACTGTGCTTCCTCGTGACTCTGTTGATATAAGTCTTCCAGTATGAAGCACTGCCTCTGGCGGTCAGTAAGGATGAAATAGATTATTATTATTAGAATAGTTACGAATGTAACTACGGTTCTATGAATCCTGGATGACCGCCAGAGTTCTTGGTCACTCGGAATCCCGTGAACTCACGAGAAGATTCCATTGGACTGAACTCAGGATGACACCGGAACTCATAGACAACGGGGGTCATCCGAGGTCGCAGGTGACTTTGTTGATATAAATATTCGACCTGCGCATGCGCGAGACAGACGATATCCAGTGTTAAGCACTGCCTCTGGCGGTCATCCAGGATTCATAGAACCGTAGTTACATTCGTAACTTTCGTTTTACCACTTATCACATTTTAAATTCAAATTTCACAGCATAAGTTATATCAAATTAGTATTAGACGGACATAACATGTCATGATATTGGACTTTTATTGAAAGTCAGATAGCCAGTCTGTTCTTATGGAGAATTCAAAACCTGCAGTGACATTACATTTGTACATATTAAAGTGTATAATCACCTGAAACTAAGAATCATTGTGTTTTCCGTAGCTTAGAATGAGCTCTTCAGCCACTCTGCAAGATGCCACCAGATCCTACACACTGGTCCCTTAAATAGGTCAACATGATGTTTAATCCATACACAAACCGAAATGTAATAACAACTGGTGGTTTTAAGGGGAAAGACATGATGGTAAAGTTCAGAAAGGATATTGTTATCAATCTTCACGTATAAACACTGAATAAACATGGACTAACCTGAGAACAATGAACACTCTACAACAAATCATTCGTGTCAAACATTACCTTTTAAGTCATACAGCTTGAATCTACCTCAACAATTAAAAAAATATATTTCTCACTCCAAATAATTTTATAATCTATTTCAATGTATCCGTAAATATATGGCATCCACCTCTTGGAGTTTATTAGGATTATTAGTGGCATCATTTCTGGCGAACCAAACCATTTTAGGACTCATAGGCACTTTACTTATCAAACATTTCCCTTGGCATTACAGAGAGAAAGAGAGAGAGAAAAAGAAAGAGAGACAGAGAGAGAGAGACAGAGAGAGAGACAGAGAGTGAGACAGAGAGAGAGACAGAGAGAGACAGAGAGTGAGAGACAGAGTGAGACAGAGAGAGAGACAGAGAGAGACAGAGAGTGAGACAGAGAGAGAGACAGGGAGAGAGAGAGAGAGTAAGAGAGAGAGAGAGAGAGAGACAGAGAGTGAGAGACAGAGAGAGAGAGAAAGAGAGAGAGAGCACGGTGTTGGCCAAGCAAGCTAGAGAGTGAATGAAGAGAGGGGCCGGCGTTAGTGGGAACAAAGCCGTGAATCAGAAGAATAAAACATTAGTTTGTGATTGTTTCACAGTTACGTCCTTTTAAATGAATGCAGCCCAAAGCACACTTGCTCCTGCTGTGGCCTGTCTGTGTCTCCGCTCGGTTACTGAGTCCAATATAGCAGCACACAGCAGAGACTGACGGGGGAAACACATAGAAGCATATAAAAACACAAAGCGATAACAACACGTTCTCCACCGCTTGTACGCTTAAGAGTGCCACATAGCTAGAGCCTCGGTACTCCGAGGGGTGTGACAAAGCAGTGGTGTTTGACCTGGAATGAGAACGGACTGCCAACCCTTCTCATTGGCTGGGGATAACACCAGATGTTGGCTTAAAGTAAATACAGGCAGAGGGCAGGGTTACTGCAGACACAAACACTAGCACACACTTCTAGTGGGTCACATGTGAATATTTTTGTATCATTCCATACATTTGTTTTTTAGGAAATTGTTGCATATTATATCTTTAAATAAAAATACATGTCTTGTGATAGAAGATGAGACCAGCACCTTTTTATTCCATTTGTAGGGTTTATCAAGACGATGCTCATAGGGGTCTTACTTTATCGTATTATTATACTGCTATATGTCATTTTTCTAGTTTTGGCCATCATTATTTACAGTTGATTGCTGAAATTTGGGATCATCACTAAAAAGTAGTTGGATCAGGGAACACAAGACATCAGATGAACAGCTCACGTTAGCCAGACTTATTTGGAAGAGAAGGCAAAGGTGAACAGTGACATGCAGGCCTGCAGGAAGTGCAATGAAAAAGGACACGGTTCAGAATCCAAAGCCATGAAGTGTTCCCATAAATCCAGTGTTATTATAACTGATGGCCAAAGTTCCAATAAAACGAATGTAATAACAAACTGGAGTACCGCTTTGAACAGGAGGCACATTTGTCCACCACTGAAGCCAAACACAAGTTGACACCATGTCAACACAAAACTTTTAGTTTTCTTCACCCTGCTGTTGGTTTCATGCAATTTGGTTCACGCTTCAGCGTGTGGAGCAACAGACCTGATGAGACACTGCACAGAACAAGAGTGAATGGAGGTCAGTGCTCTCTGCAGGACGGCTCTCTCTGTTTATTGCTGTCAGGTAGAGACTCAGGACTGTGGCCCATGTACCTGCTAACTGCAGTGTCCGGGCGGTGCTGTCAATCAGTGTCAGCAACTCCATTTCACGTCCCTTCCAGCTCGTCTACCTCTGTCAGAGTGTTTTTTGATTCCCCTCTAATGTCCTCTCTGATCCCTCATCATAAGCCATCACCATGATCCTCACTCCTCATCAGTCACCTGCTTCCTCCTGACTATCATAGACTAACACTTCTGTGATGCTGCTTGATGAAGCTCTCCTGCTTTTCTTTAGTAACCCCTCCCTTCTCCTGCGGGGCCTCCTTGGTCACTTCCTCCCTGCTGACTGGCTCCTGGTTAGGCTTCCTGCCGCGGTCCCACTCCTCACCAAGAACACTCCCAGCGTCGCTCATGTCTCCCAGGTGTTCCACCGAGTCACACTTCTGCAGGTCAGAGGCGATGGTCTGCAGGCTGATGACTGACATGCAGTCTGAGCCGGCCTGCTCCGCCTCCAGCCGCTCCCTCTGGCCCCAGCCACTCTCTCTGTGCCTCTCCACCCACAGCCTGGTTTTCTCTCCGTCCGCCCAGTTGCTCTCTACTACGCTGATTCCCGCAGAGCTACTCCCGATGCAACTCCCGATGCGAATCCCAACGGTGGCTCTGACCTCAGCCTCAGCACCTACAGGGGAGCTCCGCCCCCCGCAGACTGCAGGACGCCCCCTGCTGGCCCTTATTTGTCCCCTCTGTGCGTGGATCTGCTCGCTGATCTGCTCCAAGTTCCGCAGGGCCACAGAGTAACGTGTCTTTACCTTCGCCACCCGCTCCTCCAGCTGTACTACTCTAGCCTTATGTTCCTGAAAAAAGTGAATAGACACATGTCACTCGACAGTCATTTATATTTGTATCTAATTGTATTTTGGTTTTATCAATCAAGTAAAGGGAACATGACTTACAAAAAACTGTACAGTCAAATCATTAATGTCAGTCACTGGCTTTAACATCCCATTATTTACATCCAACTATCTTCACCATTAAACTTCCTTTTTTCAAGTTTTTTTTTTTTTTTTTTTTAAAGCTGCATGAATTGATTTTGTGGGCACTTGGGGCAATGTTACGAGCAACACAACATTGGTATCACTTTATAAAGTTGCTATGGTGAACATGTTAGCGTATCCACAAACACCATAAATCAAATAAAAGTAAGGATGCTATGATATGACAGAGGCAGTCTCAAGCTTATAGCTTTACTTAAAAACATGATCAGACAGGTTGGTGTCAGGAAACAACTGCTAATGACAGCAGGTTGCATCAATCACAGGCCTACGCAGCTCATCAGCTACAACTGAAGATATCAATATCACTTAGACAGCACGAAACATTCAAAGATCCACAAAATCAGAAATCAACTCTCTGTTTCCCACTCAACCCCTTAAATGTGTTCAAATCTCTCAACAAAGTGGGAGATTGTCAAAATTGCCATGAAAGTCACAGAAAGTTGAATTCTTTGACCAGCAGTTTGTATTGTCCCAGATCCACAAATGTCTGCGTGCAAGGTAAATCCCGTCCATTACCGCAAACACATACTGCTGACTCTGCATTAACATGGCAGCTGAAACTAAAGGTGAAGTACATCAGCGAAAAAGCTGCTAAATCATGTAGAGCATCATGCAGAGGACATCATCAGCTTGTGGCGTACAGTATGAACACATGGTGTGTAATAGTTATGATGTAAGAAAGGATTGCTGCTGGTACAAACCTCCAGAATGTGATTGAATTGAGCCTTGAGTTCAAAGTACGGCTTGGATTTGAGGATGACCTTCTTTAGGGCTTTCTGGAGGGTCTGGACTCGAGCCTCGGCTTCCTGGCAGAGCTGTGTGACTCGCTGGTGCTCCCGCTCACTGCGGAGGCGCTCCTCCTCCGCCTCGTTCACCTGACCAGCACAGGAACAATGACTGAGAGGAACACGGCATAACCACACAATCACACAAGAGCTTCTGTAAACCCCACCTTTACCACTGTTAGTAAAGTGTAAATGGACTGTACTTGTACAGCGCTTTTCTAGTCTTCCGACCACTCAAAGCTCTTTAACACTAACCCTTTCTAACCCTAACCCTAACAACAATGAATAGTTAAAACAGAGTATATGCACATTATCTCAATTTGGGGTTAAGTATCCTGCCCAAGGACTCATTGACATGAACCACTGAGCCACAGTCGCCCTATTCCTTTGCACGTTGGTTATATAGTCCAGAGGGCATGTATCCTCCTGAATGTACTGACTCTACGGTTACAGCTCTTTAATATATCGAGGTAGCTAGCAAAGGTTTTTTCTGTCAGGAACTGTCCTCCATATTACACCTCATAGGGATTTTATGAATGATCTTATGAAAGATGGAGACTCTACAGTTGGTATTGTTAGCATCCCCTCCACCATGTAACCGGCTACAAGCCAGTTATTTCCCTCGCAGTGACAGCTGAAAGCCGTTGCTGTTTCGGAGCTGTAGCACCGCCATCGTTCTCCTCGATGCTCCTCACCACCCTGCTGTGCAGATGAACCCCCTGGCACAAATTTCATTCCACTGCAACTGTGCAATATGGAGAATATCTAAAATCAGGATATTTTTTTACCAGATATTGACCTGGATATTGATATTGATATGATATTGTAGGGTTAAAAAAATTATTCCAAATGAGTTTGTTTTTTTAAAATATATAATCAATGTGGATTTCCCTGTGATGTTCTTGTAACGTAATGCTTATCTGAAAATGTAGCTAAACAACTGATTACTTGAATTGCAAACTAATGTAAACATGCCGCTCTGCCAGAAACATCTCTAAATGTACAGTAGGTCGCAGCTTTAAGAGATATTTTAATTACATCTTCGTTGTGAGAGATTATTAGTTCAAATCCCCCAGATGTTGGACTAGGAAAAAACAATTAGTGATCATCCTTCAATCCTCGATATACGGTCCGATCGCCAAATGCATTACCCCCAACACTGCTCATTAGAGAAATGAGACAAATAATTGTTAAGTACTGAACACAGGCATGTTTTATGAATAAATGTAGATACTATTGGGACATTTTATTAGATATTAAATTAGGAAAGTAACAATAAAATTGGTTAAATAAATTCCAAAATCAAACAGGAAAATGTTATTACAAAAGAAAAGGAATGTTTGTCCGATCAGGATTCACTTTGATTATCAGCACTGATAAAAATCGGTTCAGTAAATCAATGAGGAAAAGACCAGAGAGGCTTCGTTAAGTCAAGGCAGAAATGGACTGAAGAAGAGGAAATATAGACTGAACATTTCTTTCATGTGACTGAAAAAAGGCTCGGCACGATTATTGAAGAACAATCTGGATTCATGCAGGGAGACATATCATTATTAATGTCAGATTAGCACTAGATTCATCTGACTATGGTGACCTCATCACTAAGGATAGTTTCATTTTATAAATTATTTTCTAGAAGGTTTTTGATAGTTTCTTTTTTCTTGCAGACCTTATACACTGGATGTAACAACTATTTTTATACCCAGAGCGGAATAATTACACAGTTTAACCATCATAGTATGAAATAAAGTGTTATCGGACAATATTCAGTACAAATGTGCAATCGTGAGACCAGCGTTTACGTATTGTAGTCGCTGAACTGATCATGAACAATGTGAACAACAAATGTATGTTGGAATGAGGCGGAGGAGAGATAGTAACGTTGGCTGTGACAGCTAACGCACGGAGATTACATTCAATTACATTATGGTGCGTTCATGCTCAGTAGAGATTGGTATTGGCTAAAGTCCAAAATTTAACAACAACAAAAAATTATTTTGATATCCAATTCAATAATGGTTAAACAAGTATTAGTTTATAAGCATTCAGTGAACTAGAGCTCCCATTAAGCTTTCGACTGTAATACATCATCAGCCGTCTCAAACACATCGATGCTGTTCTCTGTACTGCTGCTGTTAAAGTTCTCTCTGCAGAGCCGTGGTTACTGGATCTGCCTCTGTTGTTGGAGATGTTAGTGACTCAAAGGTTCCAAACATCAAATAAACAATGGTACACAAAGCTATACCATCCCTGTCTAGATACATTGAGTGAACAACATAACATGTTGTTGTTGTTGGGCTAAATGTTTAGAAATCTGTATTCTTTTATTTATTATCACTTTCCTCTTTCCAGGTAAACCTGTAGATAAAGGTCTCACACATTGCCCTCCTTTTTTACCGTATAGAATGCATCAACATCCCAGGAGAAGCCTGGGTGTGTACCTTAGCGGTGGCATGGTTCAGCATCTCCTGCCAGGTTGGGTCCATGGTGTTCCTGTCAGCCAAGAGGCCCTGCTCTGCCACATACACCATCTCTCTGGCAGCAGTGTGCATGGACACGGCCCTCTCATATCTCAGAGCTGCCTTCTGGGTCTCCTGTTGGGCCTGGGGAGCAGACGGCAGCAGCTTCATAAACTTTCATCTACTGCAACAATGAAAAGGAGCATTCCTTTAAAGGATACCTCCCAGAGCTGCTACCAAATTAAACATATCTTATGTATATTCATTTTATGTATATTCATTTTGTGTTCTCTGTAATATTGTGAAATTGTAATATTATGTAAGTGGAGGTTTCAAATAAGCCCCGTGGGCTTTCTGCCTCATCCTGCACTGTGATATTATTTATCTTTAAATTGTGTTATAAAATACAACTAAACTAAACTACAATTTGTTAACCGTGTCAAGACATCAAAATTTAAAAAAACATATATAGACAAAAAACAATTTTTTTCTTTAAATATAGAATTTGAATTTACCACTATAATTGTCATTACTGTAGACGCGTCCTGATGCAGTTCAAAGCGCTTCACTGATTGCATTTCTCTGGTTGAACTTTCTGAGATGTATCCCCGTGAAGAGTCCATATGTGACTGATTGGTATTGCTTTCTGCCTCTCTTGTTCATATTTTTGTAACTACATTTTGTAAACTCAAGATGTTTGTGGAAGGCTCATAACTGGGTTCTCTGATGGCATTAGGTATCTCATGGGGGAAAAGCCACATAAGCTGAGCCTGGTGTACGGATATGACCTTTGCAGCACTACAAGCACACTGGTTCATTTACTGACATGGAAAAGCCTTCAATGCCTGAGTCACACTCTGCGCTTAAGTAATGCAGCATCTCAAAGCTTCAATTAGAGAAGCTCAGGTGTGTGCTTTGTGGATCTCCTGTATTCTATTACAATCCCACATTCACGCCCACTTCAGGCTATGAAAGGTCAGCTGTGTGCGGGTTAGAAAAGAGGGTTTGAACTTCTCTCTCTAGATTCAGAATTTGAATTTAGGCGACTTGAATAAAGATGTTTTTTTAGTTTTCTGAATTCATAATCCCTACAAAACAAATAGTGGACATTTGAGAGAGGGGGATTCAAACCACATATATAAATATATGTGGTTTGTAAAGTAAAACGTTTCAATGCTATAAGTTCAGTGGTATTGAATAACAATGTTAAGATTAGATAGATAGGTACTTGATATACAGCAGCATTTGTCGGTACAGGTAAAGCAAAGCAATACAAATAACGGAGTAAAAAATATGAAATATAAAAATGCACAATATATACAATAAAATAGGATAATATTAAATTAAAATAACCAAACAACAGTGCAAAGATAGTTAAGTTTAGTTGAGTTAATTGGCTTGTTTTTATTAACCCCTTAGTGTATTTGTGAATTGAGATTATTATTGTTTTATTACCAATGAAGTCAACTTTTTTTATTTGTGAGAGAAAGATTGTGATATTTCTCCTGTCAAAAGTTATGGAATCTCATATATCATATGTAAATGTACTCTAGGCCCTCCTTCAAAAGAAAAGCTCAATGTCACTGGGTTTGTCCTGATTAAAGAACACATTCCACATGCAGCTCAGTGGGCTCTAAAGCCTGTGTTAGTTTGGGGGAATAGTTAAAGTCAAGGTTACTGTGATCACATGGGAATGTCTGATCGACGTCTGCATGAGAGACCAGCAGGAAGGCTGGTGAAGGACACCAAGAAATGTAAAAATAATAACTGCATCACTGTTGGTGATGATGCTTTTGATGGTATGGAGTCTTTACATGATAGGCAAACATGTAGTGATTTAAGTAAGAACAAAGCAAAGGCTATTGAAATCTGCATATGAACATCATTGATGTGATACTAAAGACCTTTTCCTCATTTTATAATTTGCATTTTCATAACTGACAGTGGTAAACAGTTCAGATTGATGATCTATTATTTGCTTTATTGCTTTCGATTAGACCTCTGCTCTTAGTTCAATTACAGATGCAGATGAGTCCTCAGCATGTTGATTAATCCTGACTGCCACTCAGGCCCCAGTCCTTCAAAGGTTAAAAGCTTTACGTAATCAATTATTCTCCATTACAGACGAATCATTCAGTATCAGCTGTGGTTTACTGACATCAAAGAAACAACTTATTAATATTATCCAGTACGACTGTGTATTCTCGCAGCTCTCCATGGACCGTGGCTCTGCCTGACACTCCCTGCTGCTATTAATGCTATTATTATTATTAGTCACATTTCCATTTCTATGACTGTTAATATTACTGCTATTATTAGTGCTACTTCTACTAATGTTACTTTCATTATATTTATCATTTCTTTGCTATGGATTGACTGTTGTGTTGTTCATTCTGTACACATGACATCGATCACACGTCTGTCCTTCCTGAGAGAGGCCCCTCCTCTGTTGCTCTCCCTGAGGTTCGTTTTTGGGGTTTTTATTGGGGGAGTTTTTCCTTTCCAGATGTGAGGGTCCTGGGACAGAAGATGTTGTATTTTGTAAAGATTGTTAAGCCCTCGGAGGCAAATTTGTGATATTTGGCTATACAAATAAAATAACATTGAATTGGACATTGTTTTGTATAAATTGTGTGCTTTCTAACTACTTTGCTTGATGCTGCCGTACTCCCCTGACCTATTTATCCTGCTCAGCTGTTGACAGCCTGCTTTGCTTTGTTCGGTTCCAACAGTTAAAAATGAGCCTTTTGGCTAACACGAGTACATTAACAGTGATGTTGATCAATGCGCATTGTCCCCCAGAACAAATAAATAAAACAAATCATTAACACACATTTGTCACGTGTCCAACATTACTGAACATTGGATGGTGGCAATGTGTCTCCTAATGAATCCCTTAAAGGGGACCTAATATGCTTCTCCTTATTTCACTTAACGTAACTTTGACCTAACGGTACAATGTCAGATGTTCATATTAAACGTGGCCAAACTATCAGATAATGAAATAAAGATCAGAAACATCAGGCTTCAGACTGGCTTCTGACCAGCAATCTTTTCTTGGCTACAAGCTGACATCAGTTCCTGCTGGATTTCTTTAAATGGTCATCTACTCCAGGAAAAGGGCTCCCAAAAAATTGTAGATAATATTATATTACTGAGATGAATACAGTTTTAGTGCAGACAACAAGCGTTTACAATGTAGCTATTTAGGGAGCTAACGGTTGCACATAGCAATACAGCTGTGCACCAAGCAGCCTGAAGCCTTTATTTCATCCACTCAGAATCATGGTGCTGGCAGGGATAGTGGATACACGGTTCAAATAGTGAGCTTAAAGTTGCTGTGAGGAACTTTAACTGGTTATCAAACAGTCTCAATGAATCCTGATCCTCTATCAGAGAGAAGATGGTCTATTTCTATAGAGTTATTCTTAAAGCTTGTCATTGGTGCCTCCGGGTCAAAGTCAAATGTAAAGGAAACATTCAGTAAGTTGAAAATATTTTATTAAAAATAATACAGTATACAAATGTAAAAGATCCACCGTAACATTTGACTGTAACAACATCAAATTTTGATACTTGTTCTAATTTATATACAAAAATGCTGAATATCACAGATAATATCAGTAATAAACAGTAAACTTCCTCCTCCTTCAAACTTTAGCATTAGTCCTAAAACACAGGAAAACATGATATTTACATTGTAAACATCATATTTTGACCTGATGACGCCTCTTCTCGAGGCTGGTTTCCACATCCTGCCAGGTACAAAGAGGAGCTCAAACAACCCCGTCCCACAGGACCTGAGTGCATAGTCCAGGAGCCGCAGGAGCCTAATAGCTGCCAGCAGGATGAGCAAACTCCTGGAGCATCGGACCAACAACACACGCCGGGAAGACGACCCTGACGTGTATTTTAAGGTTACAGACTTTCTAAACTGTGGTGTAGAAGGTACCTGCACGTCTGAAAGAGAGAGAAGACTTCAGTACACAACAGAATCCCTGTTTGTCCTCTGTTGCCTGTTCTGTGTTGCATACATTCTGCTGGATCCACTGAAAAACATTTGTAAATGCAGAAAGTAATTACTTTTGTCCTGTGAATCCCAGGCAACAGGATACTACCTCAGATATTTCTTCTATAATATCATTATGAATACACTGTGCACTTTCTCTTTTAAATACAACGCTTTATTGCTTTATTTCTCTAAGTTGAGTCATTTATTGTTATAGAATAGGGGATCATCTGTTTGTACATATGGGTCAATGATTTGATGTTATGTTACACCGCTTTGAGAACAGAATGACTGAGAACAAACCGTCACACGCTGCTCTGTGGATATTGTTGGTGTTGGTTCAGGGTCTGACGGTCAGTCGTGCATGTTGGAGTGTTTGGCACTTGGGTAACATTCTTGTTACAACCTTATGTGGAAAAAATAAAACCAAAGTTAGAAAATGGAAAATTCATTCAGAAAGCAACACAGACATTTCATTATTTGTGTAACATGATTCATAATCAAACAGATACCATATTTCATATAGTAATAATCAGTTTATAACAGAATAGCAGCACATTTACAGACAAGTTGTAGAAAATACCAAAACAAGTTCACCTAGCTTCAAAATATATACATATACATATATATATGTGTGTATATATATATATATACATATATATATATATATATTAGTGACACTGTAAAATACATATTTATCTATTGATTCATTCAAAATAATGTTTCCAACATTGATAATTGGAAAATCCTTCAGTATATTGAGAAGAAGATGATGCATGCACATCTACACAATAAAATGTCAAAGCACGAGGAATCAACTCTTCACTTTCTCTAACAGTTTGCTCCACTGAAGGAGGAGCAGATGTGAAATGAATCTTTTTCCTGGCTACACCTGCAGGACAGTACAGCAGAGGGTAGAGTGAGTCCCACAAAACAAGACGGTGACAGAGTCACAAACTGTGAATGACACATATGAAAACGTTCTCGCTAGTCGAGCATCGTAGGAATGTAATGTACCTGAGCAAACAGCTAACCAGCGGTGAAGAAAGACGTTATTCAGTCGGTGGACGACAGCAGATAACATCTTACTGACTACCTGTTATTTGCTAGAGCACACCTTTTACACTTCAGGCAGCATTATTGTGCATTTCCCACCGACACAGCTATTAACAGTGGCATACATAGGAATACATGTACAGCTTGTGATTGAGACTAAATCCCCCGTTATGTCACACAATAAGCAGGTAATGAGCGTAACACTTACCAAGCACAGACCTGCTGTCATCTTCGTGCTGTTCACTCTCCTTTCTGGATCCCAATCGGGCCTCAAGCATGTGTGGTTGAATATTCCCTCTGCCTTGTGCAGATGTATGCGGGGACGCGCATGTAATCAGTGCTGAGGTGCTGCCATGGCGACCTCACCATCACTGTGAGCTGCTCTGGCCCGGCTTCTGGAACTTTGGCCAATGAGCCACCAGGGCTCGTTTCTGACAGAGGAGGAACTGAGGGTCTGCATGAGGAGCCAGTTTAAGATAAATAAGAATGAATCGTGCAAAGCTACTCTAGTGGAGTCCAAGAATGAAAATATGGAAATGGGGCCCAATAGATCACCTTCAACTTGTAGTAGAACTTGTAGTTTGTGCTGGTCTTTGTTCCCCTTTTGTGCCAGGGAACCAAATAGATAGATAGAGAGAGAGAGAGAGAGAGAGAGAGAGAGAGAGAGAGAGAGGGAGGGGGGGAGAGATAGATGGATAGAGAGAGAGAGAGATGGAGGGATAGATGGATAAATGGATAGAGAGAGAGAGGGAGGGATAGATGGATAGAGAGAGAGAGAGGGAGGGATAGATGGATAGAGAGAGAGAGAGAGAGAGGGAGGGATAGATGGATAGAGAGAGAGAGAGAGAGGGATAGATGAGAGAGAGAGAGAGGGAGGGATAGATGGATAGATGGATAGAGAGAGAGAGGGAGAGAGAGAGAGAGAGAGAGAGAGGGAGGGATAGATGGATAGATGGAGAGAGAGAGAGAGATGGAGGGATAGATGGATAGAGAGAGAGAGAGAGAGAGAGAGGGAGGGATAGATGGATAGAGAGAGAGAGGGGGGGGAGGGAGGGAGGGATAGATGGATAGATAGATCTATATATGTAATGTGACATGACAAAATCGTTCCATGTCATGTACTAATGGTGGAGTAGAGGATGAGTTGAGGAGAAAAGAAGCTGCTCCGTAGTCTGGTGGTACGACAGCTGATACTTCTGTATCTCTGCATTCAGATCAGCACCTTGGACAGTGACTGGTCTGGTGCTGGTCTACAAGATCCACGTGGGAAGCAGCAAGATTCTTCAGACTGCAGGCGATCTATTGATGCTAGTTTTTTCTTTTTTAAATTAAATAAAAACAATGATATGTACTGACTAACGACCACTGTTCATTTTGGCAACTGACTTTGAGTTAGGCTTAGTGTTATTCTTTTGAAATTGTATAAAGGGTTTCATATTTTAGTCATTTGATTTCTCTGAGTTTAAGTCTAGTTTTACTTAAAACCGACAGACAGTTAAGTCTTATTTTTAAGTGACGTCTTGTTTTTGGTCATTTATCTGTTGCTGTCTTTGTTGTGTACAGTTACAATTGAAATATGTGTCAGTTGTATATCGCGAGGCCAGCGGTCACACAGGTGTATATCTATATCTGAATATACTTAAAGGTAGACCAAAGGTTACCAACGCCCCTCAATATAACATAATACAATTCAAAAGCAACACAGTCTCCAGCCTCCTGCAGGACCAACATCCCTCTAAAACTGTTAGAACTAAAACCAGACATCAGAAACTGCATGAAGGGATCATTGCAGAACTAGTTCACTGAGTGTGTGTCTCTCCTACTAATCCATGCGCACGCACTAAATGTGCATCTACAAAACGCACCTCTTTGGCAAGTCTGCGAGCTTCATAGTAGGGCCTTGCTTTCTCAATGCATGCACCGAGCTGGGAGCCCTGAGCATTGAGCTTCCTCGCTGAGTCAGTGAGGATCCTCCTGTAGCTGGACCTGGCATCCTGAAGGAAACACACCACCAATCACATCTAGTGAGCCCTAGCCTGCATGGACACTGTGAAAGCTGAGGGTGTGATTACAGGGCTAACGTCGACACACAAACAACTTGCTCACATCCAGCTGCAGCTCGAGCTTGTTGATCTCGTCGCTGGCCTGGTTGAGCTGCTCCAGCTCCTCCTGGAAACACGGGGGACAGACAATGTATATGAAAGCACAATACGAACAGAGGGGCTGGAAATAAAGCCATGGCTGAGTGTTCAGTGCGGGGGCATTAGTAGCCAGAGATGCAGCGGTACCAGTCTGTGAGAGGAGCGGAGAGGAGCGGGTAGTGCCTGGACCGTGAACGCTACATGTTCATGATTTTATGCTTCTCTTAGTAAATATGCCATCGGTAACGTTACTCATATAAAACGGGACGTTTTGTGTAAAAGAAAAAGCAAATCCCGTCACTGCTCTGCCTGGCTAACGTTCCGTCGCTAATAATGATCATTTGGTATCGTACCTGAATTCTTGGGTCCAACTCTTCCTCGTGTTTGCCGGCATCCTCTTCCCCTTTGGTTTCCCCCGGGTTCTCTGCTTCATCCTCACATGGCGCTTTCACCTCCTCTTCGTCCCCTCCTTTCCGCTTCAACATGACGGTGCTCCACTCTCCGCCTTTCGCTTCTTCCCCCGGGGTCTCCTCCCGTGGAGCGGCCGGTTTGGGGAACCCCGAGCCGTTCGGGATTTCACGCGACGTCTCTGGCTCCATTGGCGGCCTGTAGGTCGGTTGCCGTTTTTGCTGCGCTAGCCTCCCGGCCACTGAACAACTGCTGAAACTCTAAAAACTATGAATACTTAGTGTTGAAATGTGTCGCAGAGCCTGCGTTACAAACACTGGCGGGCTAATGCTAGCCACTAGTAGCATGGCTGCTGTAGTCGTTGGACTGCACATGACACCAGTGGCTCTGTGCATTAATCCTCCTTGCTCTTGCTGTTTTTATTATCTTACTAATTTTGTGATTTATGTATTTAGTTATGTCCTGGTATTTGTATGTTCCTTTTTCAAAGTTATCCATTAATAAATGTGAACTGGACCCAGAGCTGGTCCAAGCTCTGGGTCCAAGGGCTCTCTAACAGTGTTTGTCCCCATGGTGGCCATGCCTGCTTAGGTGCTGTAATAAGTTTTATAATAATTAATAATACTGAATACTCACAATGTGATAATGCCTCACCATCCTACCTACTGACACCTTGTTATATATATATATATATATATATATATATATATATATAGCCATGTTCAGGTAACCTACCTTCTATCCGGGTTTATTCCTCTTTTTTTAGTTCAGGGTAAGGCCCAGCTGGCTCACATGACCAAGAGCATAGTTGTTTCTCTGACCGCCTGCTCCACAGTTGGGGAAAAAGTAAATCATCCAGGTATGGTAAGATAGGAAACATTGGAAATATGCATGGTGTGAGACCAGTGAGAGACCTAATGGCATCACTGTTAATTGGTAAGCCTGTCCTCAAACGGCAAACCTCAGGAACTGCCTGTGGCATGGTGGAATAGGCTCCTGAAAATAGGCATCCTTGAGATCTTTTGACACAAACCACTGATCGGAGAACATCGGCCATTCAGAATCTACAACCCCCACCCTCCTTCGAAATTCAAAAATACACTGAATAGCCTCAGGTGTACGAAAAACAAGCCAAATTGACATGCTATCAGTTTCCTCAATTGTGAGAAGATATAAGGAAGGAATGCATGATGAGGTTAGGTTAGAGCATGATCACAGACTTTATTGGCATAGCAACTCCACATGCGAGATAGATATCCAGTGCTAAAGCACCGGTCAGGAAGACTGAAATAAAACTGCCAAGTGATGTCACTTAATTACTCACTCAGTCATGCTATTTATCCTTTAGTATCTTTCATACAAAGTTTAAGAAACTACTTGTAAATTATTAAATGCATAACTAATCCTACCTATCTGAAAAATCCAGAATCTATAAATATGTAAATCTTGTTAATTTCATAAGTCTAACAACTGGACCCATGTCTCCTACTTCATAGAAACATCCATAATTAATAAAAACTGGAGGCTTTCACACATAGGCCGCATATTGGACCATATTTGGCTAAAAACTACTGGTGATGTCATAATGTCCTGCTGTCGTCCTGACATTCACAGGTTCACTACTGCGCATACATGCCACTACTAAGACCTCTGCCTCCTCATACAACTATGAATGCGAGGTCTGGACCTTGTAACCATCTCAAAGTATTTTGTCAGAGCTGCATTTTGATGGTTGATATAAAGAGTAAAACACCGCTAGTATTATATTCACATCAACCCCTCAATGAACACATTGTGTTGGAGTTCATGGTATTTATTAGGCCTTTATTATGGAATATAAAACTTATGATAAACTTACACAGTCAGGGCCATAAGTATTTGGACTGTTTTGAATTGTTTTTCAGACAATTGTCTAATTACTTTTGAGCCACTGAAAAATGTAAAAATGGCTGTAACTCCTAAACAGTAATGTGATAGTTTTGTTACATCACGGCTGAGAGTGTACACTTCAACCACATATGGACTGCTTCATTTGAAATCCATTACAGTCGTGTAAAGAACCAAAATTAGAAAAATGGTGTCACGGTCAAAATACTTATTGACTGTACATCAAAAATGAAAAAGCAACAACAGATGTGAGTGAAGTCTGCTCCCTAAGGGGTCTCTTTGAAAGTCCACAGGAAGTCAATTTGAGGCTCCTTGTGGACTCAACTAAGTTCTGTTTCTAGAAAGCCATTGGCCTCCAACTTCCCAGGAACCAGAACCCATTTAGTTTGGGTTTCAGCTCTATGCTTATGGTTGCCGCTTATGGTTCTTATTGTGGTTTGAAGTTAACGGGAATCCTCGGATACAAAAACTACAAACAGGAATCACAATTATATTGGTCAGATACTTAGCTCAGATATTGGTTGACTACAGTAGCCTTCTGGGTTTTCAACAACAAATGTGAATATGTACCCTTTGCTATGAAACCCCTAAATGAGATCTGGTGCAACCAATGTGTGTGATCTGACGGAGCACCATTGAATCCATCGTTACAAAATGGATAGAATATGACACCACAACAAACCTGCCAACAGAGGACCAATACTCAGGGACATTAATCAGAGAGACAACTAAGAGACCAGAGAGTGGAGGGGCCAGAAGGAAGATACTGCTTAACCAAAATAAGAAAACATGTTGTGAGTTCACCTAAAGGCAACAGCTGTATAATAAAACAATGATGCAGCTGTGCCATGTGTCATAAATGTCTCATTTGTTAAATGCTTGTTGCCTCGACTCCTCTCTCCTCACATCTCTTCCTTGCCTCCTCCGCTCGCATCTCTTGTGGGCGTGACTTAGACGTCAGGAGAGGAGGCCAGGAAAGGAATTGAGTTTGTACCAACGGGTTAATGAGTACTGGTCCACGTGCTCAATACTAATGAAATGGGGGACCCACGTTGTTCCACAGTGCTACTAGTGGTCAAAGACTCCACAGGGTACTGTGGAGGTATTTTATACCTCCTGTATACATGTTAGGATTGATAACATTGTATGTAATATTATAGTAGCTTATGATCAGGCCCAACACAACTTATTAGTATGTATTTCCACTTTGTTGTAAAATTACACACACACGCACTATTCACAAATGAGCTCTGTGTGACCGAACACTCTGGTGGAACAGGTGCATCTGGTCAACTCTTGTCTAAATGGGATCTATGTTCTGCATGCCTATTTTCTCCATAATCTCTCATAATATCTCCATAATGGACTTATGTATGGCCTGTGCTCAGCAGCTTTCCTTTGAAGAATAAATAGTTAGCTTCCAGGTTCGCACCACTGAGTTTAAACTGGCTAACATACGTGTGTGGTCATAAAACTGCCCCCCCCCCCCCCCCCCCCCCGTTCTGTGTGATGGGAGGGTATAAAGGTTTTACGGTTTCTTAACAGAGTTGAAGAAATTTTGCAGTCCAGCAAACTGTGCAGAGTTGAAGAAATTTTGCAGTCCAGCAAACTGTGCTTTTCTTCCCATGATTCATGTCCAATAAAGAATTCTACAAAAATTTATCTTCGACTCCAACCTCACCTGTGACCAGTCATTTCAAACCACAGTACCTTTAAATAAAATGGACAGATTATAACCCACATCCATATTTAGACAATTAGACATTGTGTACAGTATTAAAGACACTATTTCATCTGCAATTTACATAACTACTTCATAAGGAAGTTTACATTTATTGAAGAATGAGCAGAGGTGTACATTTTCTTCTTATCACCACTTAATCCACATTACATGGAAGTCATCATTTTATGAAACATAAAAAAATAATCATATCATCTCCACTTTCTTATAGCACTGATAGCAATGAACCAATGTGGCAGCAAGACAATCCTGATATCATGGGAGTGACTGTCATCAGGTGTGATGTCACAGTTACATGTTAGACTTCTGCCGTTTCCAGAACCTCTTGACCTCGCTGTGTCCGAGCGGCGACACCACCATCACCCTGTGAGCCACGTCCTGCCACACCAGACAGCCCAGACCCTGCACCACAGCAGCTTCATTAAACACACAGTATGAGCACTTACAGAGGTACAAAGGTCCTCTAACAGGAACCGCTGTACCTGTCACCTCATGTTCAATCATGTGCAATTACTTGCTGGTGAGTACAAAGTTATGACTGATAAAGCAATGGCCAGAGTTACCAAACCCAAGACCCAAATTATAATGAACCAAAGTGTTCCTTGAAGATTGCCCTTCAAATATACAAACATATACAGGTGCTGGTCATATAATTAGAATATCATCAAAAAGTTGATTTATTTCAATAATTCCATTCAAAAAGTGAAACTTGTCTATTATATTCATTCATTACACACAGACTGATATATTTCAAATGTTTATTTCTTTTAATTTTGATGATTATAACTGACAACTAAGGAAAATCCCAAATTCAGTATCTCAGAAAATTAGAATATTGTGAAACGGTTCAATATTGAAGACACCTGGTGCCACACTCTAATCAGCTAATTAACTCTAAACACCTGCAAAGGCCTTTAAATGGTCTCTCAGTCTAGTTCTGTAGGCCACACAATCATGGGGAAGACTGCTGACTTGACAGTTGTCCAAAAGACGACCATTGACACCTTGCACAAGGAGGGCAAGACACAAAAGGTCATTGCAAAAGAGGCTGGCTGTTCACAGAGCTCTGTGTCCAAGCACATTAATAGAGAGGCGAAGGGAAGGAAAAGATGTGGTAGAAAAAAGTGTACAAGCAATAGGGATAACCGCACCCTGGAGAGGATTGTGAAACAAAACCGATTCAAAAATGTGGGGGAGATTCAGAAAGAGTGGACTGCAGCTGGAGTCAGTGCTTCAAGAACCACTACGCACAGACGTATGCAAGACATGGATTTCAGCTGTCGCATTCCTTGTGTCAAGCCACTCTTGAACAACAGACAGCATCAGAAGCGTCTCGCCTGGGCTAAAGATAAAAAGGACTGGACTGCTGCTGAGTGGTCCAAAGTTATGTTCTCTGATGAAAGTAAATTTTGCATTTCCTTTGGAAATCAGGGTCCCAGAGTCTGGAGGAAGAGAGGAGAGACACACAATCCACGTTGCTTGAGGTCCAGTGTAAAGTTTCCACAGTCAGTGATGGTTTGGGGTGCCATGTCATCTGCTGGTGTTGGTCCACTGTGTTTTCTGAGGTCCAAGGTCAACGCAGCCGTATACCAGGAAGTTTTAGAGCACTTCATGCTTCCTGCTGCTGACCAACTTTATGGAGATGCAGATTTCATTTTCCAACAGGACTTGGCACCTGCACACAGTGCCAAAGCAACCAGTACCTGGTTTAAGGACCATGGTATCCCTGTTCTTAATTGGCCAGCAAACTCGCCTGACCTTAACCCCATAGAAAATCTATGGGGTATTGTGAAGAGGATGATGCGAAATGCCAGACCCAACAATGCAGAAGAGCTGAAGGCCACTATCAGAGCAACCTGGGCTCTCATAACACCTGAGCAGTGCCACAGACTGATCGACTCCATGCCACGCCGCATTGCTGCAGTAATTCAGGCAAAAGGAGCCCCAACTAAGTATTGAGTGCTGTACATGCTCATACTTTTCATGTTCATACTTTTCAGTTGGCCAAGATTTCTAAAAATCCTTTCTTTGTATTGGTCTTAAGTAATATTCTAATTTTCTGAGATACTGAATTTGGGATTTTCCTTAGTTGTCAGTTATAATCATCAAAATTAAAAGAAATAAACATTTGAAATATATCAGTCTGTGTGTAATGAATGAATATAATAGACAAGTTTCACTTTTTGAATGGAATTATTGAAATAAATCAACTTTTTGATGATATTCTAATTATATGACCAGCACCTGTAGAAACACAAATCTGAATATACTTTTATAGTGTATGTGTGATTTCATTACCGGAAAATTGCAAAAACATGGAAAATTGCTGTTGTTGACGGTAGAAATTCATGAATAAAATGTGCAATTGAAGCATAAACAGGGTGAAAAAGTGCAGTGATCAGTGACAGCAGAACACACAGAGACAAAAAACATCTAAACTGATGATTAAATCCATATAATGTTCATAATAAGATTTATATTATTCAGTCATGATGAGATGTGGAACAAAATCTCACCTGAGCTCTGTCTCGCAGCACCTCAAAGTCAGCCTGGGAGAGGAACTGGTTATAGAGCACTCCTGAAGACAGGTGAGGAATGAGGTTAAAGGCCAGCACAACGTTAGTACTCATCCTCTCTATACTGTGTGTCAGTCACAACCTCCACGCCTGAGAAATCAATCACACACATTCCCTTCTCCACTCAATTAACGGATTCTAAATTCAAAAAACTGTGTTTACAAGACAAATATTTTTTACAAATATAAAGAAATAATATTATTGATGCTGAAAGTACAATAAATTCTCAAATAAAAGCCAGATCTCAGATAAAGGTAAGTAGAAAGGTGCTCAGTAGAGTGCAAATCTTCAACAGGTGTGTTTGCAACACCCACTGCTGTAAAGTTTGATTGAATAAAATACAGCCCTCAACTGGCTAAGCCCCATCTAGGCTGACAGTGGATCAGATGTGGTTTTCACTCGCATGTCTCACACAACAGATACGCTCTCATTTCGATCTATGCAGATGTTTGCACCGGCTCTGTGCAGGCGCTTCGCCTCATGCCTTGTGCTGATGGTTGCTGCTTAGAATTAGTGCTGATGAAATGTTCATGATATTGAATTTATCATTACAACAGGTAAACATGGAGGAAGTGTGCAGATGAAAACAGGAGCAGATCAGAAATCTGAGATGTCACTAAAATATGACAAAATGTACTTATAAAAATAGAAATAAAGGCCTGTCATCCAGTCAAACATCTGTTGCCCAAGCTTGCACCCACTTTGAAAAATAAACTCACCCTCTGTGAACTGCAGTCGATCTCTCTCTAGCTCCCACAGTTGAATCTGATCGGTTATAGTTGGAGGCAGCACTGGAGTCTGAAGCACAGAGATGGAGGTGAAGCCACTGCAGACCTGCTAAAGGCCAAACATTAGAATGCAGTGGGAGTTGGATGTACCTGTTTGAGCATGACCGGGTGAGCTCTGGTCCTCAGAAAGTGGATAATCTGTGGGGTAAAAAAAGACTAACATAATCAGCTGGATGGAAGTGTGATCTACACATACAGCTGGGTAAGAATCATTTCCATAACATAGCATACAGACATGAAGACATCTTCTGTTAAACACATACTTTTCTGGTCCCAACACTTCAAAACGTATTTTTTTAACACGTTTGTATAAATTGTCAAAAAAGCTCAATGCAAATAGTGTACATTTAAAATATAGCCAAGAAACCGTTTATCATCTGAGATATGCTGGAGGCATAATAACAGGTCAGACCTGACACAATGTGAACCCATCCTTTATACTACCTGGACAATGATCTCACAGTACTGGCGCAGTTGTAGCTTTTAGCAGAAGTGTAAAAACAGCTTGGTGGCATCACATGTAAAGCAGAAGTAGATGATCCACAGTGCAAATACAGGCCAATGATGGATGGGGTCCAATCAGTTCTTTGAATTGAACATAGCTAGCAGTTCTTACTGGTCACCTCTCTTACATGCATTCATACTCTCTGAGCATTCACTCAGACTTCAGTAACTGAATATGTTCTTCGGTATCAGCTTCTCTGGCTCAGGCATACATTAAGTTGACAGGTATGCTTTACACAGTGTTTACATATTGTTAAAGTAGCTCCACATGCCCAATATCAACACATACACTGTTATGAGAAGAGACATTTGGGGGCCAGCTGGACAATATTATGGCAGCATATACTGTATATTCCTCCTATTTGTGTGTATAAATATAAAGGGTATTTACAATGGATTTATGGTATCATGCTACTGGCCCCTACACACCTGCGGAGTACATTGTGTGCAGTAGTTGAGTACCTGTTGTGCTGTGATGCCGTTGGCGATGGCCTGTTGCACTGACTCCCTTGTTACATGCGCCACCACTAAGTTGGGGAAGCGATACAGCATTTCACTGAAGAGAGCCACCAGAGCGATCTGAAGTTCTGAGTCTGGGAGGGACACGCAAACCCCAACCAGTCAGTGCAGGTTCTGTGAGCTCGTCCTTACAAACGCTGCCGTGTGTTACTCACAGAGACATGATCAAATGCATTCAGAAACATTGAATAATTAGTGGAAAGCTTTAGATGCGTTGGTACATTTTATGAACACTGGGATGAGGCAGGATACCCCTGCATCCAGTCTATGCTAAGTATGCTAAGCTAACGATTTCCTGACTCCAGGTCTGTGCACATAGAGATGACACTGATATCCACCTGAACCCCTCACTCT